TGTCATCAAATATGAAGCAACAATAGTTTATTAGATTCTGTAAGCAGAACATCACAAATATATGATATCTATAGGTTAGAGAGAATAAAACACACCGAAATGGAACAGCCACTAAAGTTGCAGAAGCCGCTCAAACCCGACCAGATTGTGGATATAATGAATTAAGCATGCATAGTCATCTTAGGATCACTGAAAACAGATCTGCTTGAACAAAGTGTACAACAAAGTTTACGTGGCCGTTTCGAGTCAATCTGGGATTTTCAAAGCAAAATACGAGCTTATTAGCAAATTTTGCGAGAGATGCCAAGCTGCATTTTTTTTCTATGACATACAAAGCAGATCATTATAAAACTGTAAACAACGGCGTAAAAAACTCAGTATCAAATGATATGATGAAACAAAAACAACCACAACGAACATTGAACCGGTGATGGATGATGAAGCACAGAGCAGACATGAGTGAGTCGAACACAACAAAAACTCATCATTTCAAGCGGATGAAAGAGAGAGAAAAAACAGACAGATCATTGAATCAATGCCTATCTAGCTAGAGTTCTTTCTTTGGTTCCGTTGGTGTAGGTAGTTCCTTCATCACGTTGTTATTAGTGATATTTGTATTTGCATATGCATTTGATATGGATTTTTTCGCTGGTGGTGGATAAAGTCGAGGAACAACGACCAGGATGAGGGCTGCTGCTATGTGGACGACAAAGAAGACTCGCCTATAATTAAGAGCTTTGGGATTACGGCTACAAGAAAAGGTTTCGGTAAAAGTAGCAAAATGAAATGTGGGTTGAGAGCAGAGGGTGAGAAACGTAGCGTTTTGCAACCTTTTTCAGAATCAAGAAAGAAACCAACAGCAACATTGCTCTGCTAAAAAATGTGAAGACGCAAGAAAGAGAACAAGTGAGTTGCAACCCCCAGGAAAATAAAATTGCGCGAATTGCGCCATCTGCAAGATCAGCTGAAAAGAGAAATACAAAGCACTTAAGGCTGAAGTCACAAAAACAAGTAAAAAGCCAGTGCTGACTATAGCGAAGAACTATTGTCTAGATTATTTTTACAGAAAATGGACTTTGATGTCACTAGCGGGATGAGTTTGCATGCTGTTCAAAATTGGCAGCAATATTGTTTTATAGAGGCTAGTCTCAGACGAAGGCAGCTACTCATGCTGCGAGGCGTGCGCGCGCGTACGAGCACTAATGATGGAAGATGCTTGAACACACGGTTCGTACTCGTTTTCCAAAGAAGAGGACAGTCTTCGTCACGGATAGCTTTTACATCTTTGAAAATTATGTTTTATAAATGAACAAACTTTTTGAGGATTCAAAACCTTGCCAATTACTCATCAACCTATTTTCCTATGCTTACTTGTATAGCATGAAAGCTGGATTCAAATTCATCGTAACGAAAGGATACGTAGCATAAGCCAAAGCGATTTTCGTTGCCATGAAAGTCATCACGTCGTATCCCATTTTTCTCGTCGATGAATCCAAGAAACGATGTCTCATGCAGCGGCGGAACTGGAATAAGACTTGGCATAATATAAAAAGGGGTAAATTAGACTAATGAGTATTCGTGCCCTCGTTTTGACTTACTGTAGCTCCAGCTAGCGTAAACAAAGCACCAGTGAAAAACGTCATATAATAACCGAC